GGAGGGCGAGAGTGACTCCGACGGAGACAAAGAAGTCTGCGAGGGGTTATCCTCGTGGTGGATATTTAGATTGCGTCTGGGGCCAAGATTTTGCTCTCTGTCCATGATTTGTGATAAGTAAGAGCCTGGTCGTTGACCTAATGGCAGATCACGATCAAGCTGCACATTTAAAAAGGATATATGGGAAGCATCAGGGGTAGAGTCTGGACTCGAGGCATTGTGGAACATACATCATCAGATTATATCCAACCCCAAAGTCTGATAACGGACATAACCGGATGTACGAGAGGCTGAGGAGAGTAGTGGGGACTCTGAGAGCCTACTGATCAGCAACCTCAAACTCAAAGCACCCTGATGTGACAATGCGGGCGGGAGATGGGTGAGTCGGAGTCCGACATGCCGATGCGACGGAAATAGGCGAGGGCCATTCCGATTCGAGGCATAGTGAGCAGTTCCAAGGTTGGAGATGAGAAACCCTGAGCTGCCAGGATGTATGGTGGCGGATGATGGATATGGCTCCATTGATGTCGAGCATCATGAAGTCATCATCTGCGGCCATCGGGCGAGAACCATGGAATGGGATTTGTGCATCCTTTGAACGCCAAGGGGAGCTGAATCATTTGACATCACAGGTCCTTCCCAACTTGAATACCCGTCATACCCAGTAAAGGTGATTGTGCTATCTCCGATTAGCGTAAGTGGTAAGTGGTAAGTGGTAAGTGGTGTCGTCTCAGCCCCGAGTGGTGGTTGGGATGGGTTCTAGACACGCTGTAGGCGAATAGAATCCTAGAATTAGTGAGGAAGGGAAGTGCTTCTCTCTTGTGAAAGGGTAACAACTTGACATGAGATCTAGACTCAAGAATGAAGTAGATCTGGATCTGGAGAGAAGGCGGAGATGCGGAGGTGGAGTTGAAGTTGGGAGGTTGTTTTGGCCGATCACGCCGTTTGCTTCTCTTCTTCCCCATCCCCATTCTTCCCCTCTTCAACTTCACTCACAAACAAAGTCATTTTGCTCAACCCCGCATCTACAACCTTGACCATGAGGGGGGACTACAGCAATCCCAGTCACGACGATTAGCCGGATCAATAGGAAGGACTGGTGCAATGCATACGGACCTCTTCTCTGCAGCTGGATATTTATCCCGTCTCTTAGTAGATGCAGATCTTCCGGACAAGAATGGTTCCACCACTTTCATTACTGCAAATCGCAGCTGCAATGCCTGCAATTGATCTTTGTTTTGGCTAAATGCTGGCGAAGTTGCGCATTAAAAAGCGGCCTTCAGCATTGGCAAACTTCAAAGAATCATGAGCATCGCAGAAGCATAGAGACTTTGAGCAGCAGCTTCTTCATCATCAACAACATCATGCGCGTACCCTTCTTCGCGGGGCTACTCGCCATTCACCAGGTCACAGCTCAAGACTCGAGCACTGCAACTCCTACCACCAGCTCAGCGCCTCTAGTGACCAGCCTCAATCTCACAGTCGAAGGTCAGCTTCTTCCCTGACTTGACCTTGGATAGGACTTCAGCTGATATACCGTGGACCTCTGGAATATCTACATCGGTCCCGTGGAGACCGCAGCGGTCAATACAACCGTGGAGCCCACTCCAATCCCAAGCTCTCAATTGATCCCACCGCCTCAATTATACTATCCCTCCTACCTGACCGGCGCCCAGATTCCCGCACAGGGGAAGAATGATAGCTGGTCCTTCCCCAAGGAATTCTGGTGGGGCGTCACCAGTGCCTCGTACCAGGTTGAGGGGGCTGTCAAAGCTGACGGCCGTGGTCCCAGCTTATGGGATGCATTTACGCACCGAGCGATGAGCGTAGCTGACAACCAAACTGGCGATGTTGCGATCAACCAGTACTATACCTACAAAGAAGGTAAGTTACTGTGTAGTCCAGACTTCACCCTCATGATATCTTAGCTATCAGCCCAGAAAATCAGATCTAACCACTACGACCAGACATCCAACGCATCGCCGCCATGGGCGTCAAAGCCTATTCCTTCTCCATCTCCTGGTCCCGCATCTTCCCCTTCGGCAACGGTCCGATCAACGAAGCCGGTCTCCAGCACTACGACGACGTGATCGACACCTGCCTGGAATACGGGGTGGCACCGCAGGTCACCCTCTACCACTGGGACCTGCCACTCTTCCTGCAGCTTTCATACGGCGGGTGGACCTCCGAGAGAATCGTCGACGACTACCTCGCGTACGCTCGAGTACTCCTAGTCCGCTGGGGCAGCAAAGTAGCGCAGTGGTACACGTTCAACGAGCCCATCTCCTTCTGCGGCGAATACCCCGTCCCGGACGGGTATTTCACAACCACCACAACCATCCCCGCCCACCAACAAAAGTTCTGGTGCGGACACTACATGCTCGTCGCCGCCGGCAAGACCTACCAGCTCGCACGGTCCCTAAACATCACCGCCCCGATAAGCGTCAAGAACAACGGCGGGTACAAACTACCCCGAACGAACTCCCGCGCGGACGCCGAAGCCGTCGAACGAGCCTGGGCCTTCAACGAGGGGTGGTTCGCCGACCCCCTATTCCTAGGCGACTATCCAGCCCGCCTCAAGAATTTCACATCCAGCTTCCTGCCCGAGTTCACCGCAGCCGAGAAACGGCTCATCCAGGGCGCGAGCGACTACTTCGCGCACGATGCCTACACCGCGGCGTACTACATGGCGCCCGACGCCGGGATTGAGGGCTGCCTCGCCGACCCCAGTAACAGCCTCTACCCGCAGTGCTACAACTCGACGTACACCTTACCCGCAAGCGAGGGCGGGTGGCTGATCGGACCGGCCTCCGACCCCAACACCCGGTGGCTGCACAAGGCCACCGAGTGGCTCCCCGCGTTTTTACATTATATCCAGCGCACGTGGCAGCCGGCCAACGGCATCGTCATCACCGAGTTCGGCTGGACCGAGCCCTTCGAGGCCTACAAGTCCAAGCGCGAGGATATCTTGACTGACCCGATTCGGTCCGCGTACTACCGTGATTACGTCGAGGCCATGCTCATCGCCGTCGCGGAGGGGGTCAACCTGGTGGGGTGTCTGGCCTGGTCCATTGCTGATAACCTCGAGTGGACGGCGGGTTTTACGGTCAAGTTCGGCTTGCAGGTGAGTCTCTGCGTAAAGTTCCTGTCTTCAGTTTCCCGGGGCTGTCGGGAGACCCAGAGTATGCTAACTGGGATGGATAGTACGTCAACCTCACCACCCAGGAGCGGTTCTATAAGGCCAGTTTCTTCGAGCTGGCGAGCCTCTTCAAGACTTATATCAAGGAGTGAGACGGAGTGCTGAGCTTGGACAGGCGATATCAACGCATCAGACCCCGAGTGGAGCTATAGTGCCGCTGCGCTCCAGGATTGGTGATAAGAGGTACACACACATCGCATGAATAGAGCAATATCAGTACAATACCCCCCGTTAACATACCCCGACGTAGGCTCCTACATTCGACTCACAATTCCCTTCAAGAAACAACACAACAAAACTAAAACGCCACCGTCTACCCAACCTTAAAACCGAAGAATATACACAAAGCGAACCACCATCTCCACCACTCATGTCCATGCCTATGCCTATGTAGCTGTAGCGCTAGCTGGAGTAGTAGCAGTAACTACATGCGTCAGTGTAGCAGCACCAGTCGCCACCGTCGTCGAGGACGACCGCGTGGAAGAGGAGGTGACCTCCGCCGGTCGGGTGATATTGAGAAGAACACGAGACGAAGCCAACCGCTTCGTCGGGGTTGATCCATGGGAAGGAGACGTTGGAGTAGTCGAGGGTCGAAGCCGTGTTTGTGACGGTGTCGGTGGGGGTGGGTTTTGGGTGTGGATGGGGCCCGCAACGGGTGTCGGGTTAGTTATACGGCAATTTTGTGGATTCTTTTGGGGAGGGGGGGGGTGTAAGGTAATGGGGGGGGGGGGGGGGGGGAGGGGGGAGGAAGTTAGGTGCGTGCGTGTGGGATGCTTTCAACTGAGGTGACTAGGGATAGGGCTGCTGGTATACTGCTCCCAGAAGAGATGGAGGACCACCTACAATAGATATTCCCCTGACTCGCCGCACTCTGCTGGACCAGACTCTGCTGCCAGACGGACACATTGAACACGCCCCCAGGGTCGTCTTTCAGGCGATGACCTGGTCCTCGCCGAGGGTCCAGGCGGGGTTGATCCCGTCGCCGGAGGAGGGGTTGATGAAGTAGTTGTTCGCGTCCGAGGTCGCGGCCCTCTGGATGATGCAGTACAGCAGAAACAAAAAGCGCACGGCGGACATCTTCATCAGCCTAGTACGGTGTGTATAGTGGAACGGAGGGTCGAGTGTTATTCTGGAGTAGCGAGCTGGGTATGATATCAACTGGACACAACTGCTATGATACTGAGACCCTTAGTTAGAAGGGCCTACTGCGGTAACAGCCTCGCGCGATGTTAGGGTTGTTTATTCTTAGGGTTGTTTTTAGCCGCCGTGGATCGGGTTCCTGGCAATGGCTGTCCCGATCCGTGCAATGAAAATCCCCCTAATCGCTATGGCTGAGACATCGCATCGGTCCGTCAGGGAGAGGTGTCTATGCAATGGCCTGTTGGCATGGTTTGGCGCGGTCTGGCGCAGTCGGTTCATGGACTTTGGTGATAGGTGGGGGTTTGAGGGCAAACCCCTGGTTGAGGATGTATTCCATATGATGCACAATAATAGATCTAATCGCACATTTGGGCGGTTTGGTTGAGCACCTTGACTGTTGGAAGCAGCACGCAGATCTCAGAGGTAAGTCCATGGCAAGACCTTACAAAGTCCTAAATTCAAGTCTGTGCTAGACAATTACGAAAGATTAGTATGCCTTCCAGCAATGGCCCAATGAGACGATCTGGAGTGGTGCTAGCTTTGGATCACCGGCAAAGAATAGAACCTTGAAGTTTGCTCATCGACCGTAGGGAACTAGATCTCACCCATCCGACGATTGCTGGTTTAATTCGAAGGAAAAGACTTCATGTATTGGCAGACAACCTGATTCACATCGTATGTGTTACTGCAACATTCTATGTATATAGAGAGGCCATGTTCTGCTGAGCCATTATATTGAGATCTGCCGCCAGAACTGCTTCGCACGATTAGCTGTCTGAATGAACAAATCCATCAATCATTCAATCAGCTGCACCTATTGCCAGAACTAGTTCGCAGAAACATCCACAATCGTCTGCAGCCCATCCTCCCCTAAAATCGCAACCGACCCTCCAAGCACCGTGAAATTCCTCGGGTCAGCATCTAACGGCACTCCTACATCATCCCACGTCGCATGGACCGTCCTCTCGCCGCTCAGGAACCGGTTGACGTTCGACATGGTACTATACATCACCCCAAAACTAAAAGCCTCGTGCACATTATCATCCTGATCATGTATATCCGAGGTCTTGGAAAATGACCCAGCAGGCTGATACCCCCCCGTCAGCGACGGATACGCGCCGAAGCACCGTAGATACCCATGCCCGCACATTCGGCCCAGCGACACATCGAATTGCGCCCCGATGTCAATCTGCTCCGCCAACTGCCTAGGGTTTACAGAGAGCGCCGCCAGGATCTTCTGGGCGCCGATGTAGCTCACAGCATAGACCAGGGAGCAGACCGCATCGCCCACGCTGCAGACCAGACGCGTATGATCGGGCCGATCGATGGGAGGCGGATCGCGCCAGTAAGGTAGGAAGTGATGGGGCGGTAACACTGTAGGATCCTGATGCGACAGGAAGACCGGCAGCTCGGTCTTGCAACTCAAACCGCAGTGACCGAGCCAGAGGATATCCCAGTCGTCGCCGTAGGGAGACCCGGTGGAGTGGCCATCCGAGCCTTGCAGCGCTCGGACGGCGAGCGCATAACTTTGGAGCTGGGTTTTGAGGGTCACGTCCCAGTCGACGTCATCCTCCATGATGATAGCGCTTCCGAGTCTATCTTGGACGATTCTGCGCGAGGGTCAGTGGGCATTGCAGGACGGCAAGCGGGGCGTTGCATACTGCTGCATGGCATTGACATGCGCACGTCGAGCCGCATATTCCGTCGGCTTGTGGTCTGAATTCCAACGCTGGAGGAGCTCATCAGCAACTGCCACCAAGTACATCTTCCAGGCTTACATGAGGAATTGATTTGGGATTGACTTGGTCCGGGGTGACTCCATCGATCCATTCCACACGGAAGCCGCTGACCGATGAACCCAGGATAATATTGTCCCTCTTATCGGGTCTAGAGGGGAGATTCACGACGAAAATCTTCTGAGTCTACATCTTGTGAGTACAAGTCATCCCTTCAGCAGAATTTCAGTGCGCACCCCTAAAGTCTCATTGCCGATAGGGTGGAGAGGGATCGACTCGCCCTCGGACCGTTGCCGCGCTGTCAGTTGCGCATAGTGGATCCGGGACAGGTTCAGAATGACGACGATCGCCCCAATTAAAAGTAGGATTGTCCGGGTGAGTCGATTGTGAAGAATGGATAGAACCATACTCGCTCAATCAAGCAGCAAAGACGAGAAACGAGTGCGCTTCAAATCAGTAGCGGTTGAAATTGTAGACCCGCTCAATCGCCCCTTGAGGCGCTCAATCTTCGATCGTGGATTGAAATGCGGGGAGGGGATGTCCCCAGCGGGCTTATCTGGCTTGGCTCGGGCTTGATATTGCCTGGTATAGCGGAAAGAAGAGAAAGACGAAAGGAGAGGAAGAAAGGGGAGGAGAAGGTGAAGGAGAAGAAGTGGACAAGGAAGGGTCCAATGTCGGCAATGCTAGTCTGAGCCATCCCTGGTAGGATTTGCTCCTGAGTTACATTGGCGGGTGAGTGTGCAGTGGGAGCATTGAATGAGACTTGGGTCAGCCGCTGGGCGGCGGAAATCTGGCCCAGTGGAAGGAGCGGATCTGCCGCCGGGACCGTCCTTAAGTCACTGCGTTAGTAGCCACTCACTAGTTATCCGAAGGTACTAATTTGTAGACAGAAGACACAGTCATCAATTGTATTATCTTGACACAGAATACACACTAAGCCTACCAGGAAAGAACAACACAGATCATGGTAAAATATAATTGGTATATGGGGTATCCATGATGCATTCAGGCTGTAAACATCACCCAACCAATGCAGAATGCTGGCAAGTGTGACCGCAAGGAAAAACCCTCTCCCTATCGTGGGCTAAGAGATAGATAACATGGTATCACGCAATAAATAAACCTCTATCCCAGACCGGGTCGGACATTATGTGCACAACGCCAAATGTACTCCACACATGCCGCCTCTCGGGCATGTGGACTTTCAAATCAACGAGAAAACAGAAAATGCACATGGGAGTATTCATGATGCAAGGTACCGTCGCAAGACGCTGACACCAAGGGCCTTCACATCGAATCCCGTGTGGACAGAGTGCTGTCAAAAGTGTTTCGTGGAACAGCGGAGCCGTGAGCTGAACCAGACCAGCGGTTCCCAAAATCATGCGAAAAAGAACTCAGCCGCCAGGGTTGGTCTTCAGTGGGCGGATCGCCCCTCCCCATGGGCCCCATGGGATAGCCTATCCGGGGATGGTTGCACAGCGCCCCCGAAGCTCTGCCGCCGATCCGACTTGTGAAGCTCCGCCTCAAGCGAAGTAATGACCGGAGGTGCAGATTTCAACGGCGAGGGACCGGCGACCCGCGGGGAAAGCGACCGATCGTGGTCGCTGAGGTTCGAGGTGTTGATGCTCAGCCCATGTACATTGCTGCTGGCGCCGCTGGCACGGACACGGAAGGAGCGGCGGCCGGGGTTCAGGTGATCGGCCGGCGTGATGTTGACATTTTCATCGTCGTCCAGGTCGTCCGGCGAGTATCGCAGGCCTGCCTCAGGGTGGCGGATGCGTTGATATTCACCGCGCTCGCCCGTGGGATCCGAGTCGTCGGCCTCGGAGTCAAGGTTCGGGCTGCGCGTCCAAGATCCCTTCCGAGCTTCCGCACGCATCTTAGCGATCTTCATGTAGTTATATGTACCAATGCTCGCAATGGTCACAAACAAGCCCGTGATGTTGATCAAGGTGAGCTGGTCGTGGAAAATCACCCCCGCTGCGCTGATGGTGACCACTTCCTTGAAGATACCGCAGATGCTCAAGGTTACCACCGAGGAGCGCTTGAGGAGCGCGAATTCGGATGAAATCATACAGAAAGCGAGGAGGCCGGGAAAGATCAGAAGGCCCACTCCAAACAGGCTACCGCGAGCCTCGGCCAACGCATGGAATCCCGCAGCGATCTCGGAGGGTCCCTCCACGGCCAGCGCAATGATGATGAGAGACACAAACATGACGGGGGTCAGGAAAAAGAGGGTAGAGAAGGGATTGGCCGTCGCGGGATGGCGGAGAAGGAGGATTTGGGTCAGACCCCATCGGAAACCGGAGAAGAACGCGGATGCAATGACCAGGACGAACCCGACTACATTGAAAGCGGTCTCGCCAGCGACCATCATGACAACACCTACAGTCATTGTGGCGATAATGATTATCAATCTAACTGAGGGAGTCTCGAGGCGGAAGAGGAAGGCAAACAGAAGAACAAAGGCAAGGGCGGATGATTTGCACATAGTGAGAAAAGTGAGGGAGATGAACTTCAAGGACATATTTCCAAGACCAATGTCGAGGGAGGTTGCTGCACCGCAGGGAACCAGACGAGTAAAATAGAAGAATTTGGTGAGGATCGGCCCTTTCTCCGAGTTATCATGATCTCGGACGGGCGAGCCGGACGGCGTGGAGGTATGAGGGTGCTGCGGGCGCAACGATGGTATCAAGTAAAGCAAAAGGGAAGAGAGTGTGAACTGCACAGCCATATGCAGACTGGTGGTGAAAAGAGGGAAAGGGAACACGACGTTGTTGTCTGAAAACATCCATTTGTTGTACTGTAGAGAGGGCACGCGACCCGGTTAGCAGATGTCGAGCGCCCGCCCAGCTCCGTCCCTGGGATCAACACTTACAATTGAAATCGAGAGCGAGAAAAAGTACCACATGAGAATCAAGCCGCCATTGACTAGAAGCCTTTGGAGGATGTCCTGATCGCCCATTCCCAATGGCAGCCACTCCTGCTTCGAGGCCTTGACATCAGCTATGCGGGCATCCAACTGCCTGCGCTGCTGTCTTCTGCGACGTCGCTGACGTCTCTGCCTCGCAGTCAGGCCGGTCTCCTCGTCATCGTGGATATCTTCATCCGAACTCGTGTAATCCATTTCGCTATTTTCCGCAATGGAGGACAGATCCGACTCGTCTGCGTCCTCAGCCGGTGAGGACTTCTTCTCCTCTCTCTTCGAAGCGACTCCGTCCCCGGTCACCCTTGCAATGTCGTCCCGTGGGTCAAAAGCCGCCGAATGGGAACCTGCAGCCAACACTGAGCTCCGCCGTCGATGATGATTGCTGGCGGGGGAAACACCCATACTGGGACGGTGCGGATCGTCGAGGAGGTAGGTAGGAGGGAGGCAGACGGAGTGATATATGGGTGAATCGCGGACTCGAAGGCGTTCGCTACAATGAGGATGGCCCCATCAGTGAGAATGCGAATTGTGTCTCAGAGGCCCACCGCGCGCGCACACGATCGAGGGAAATTCGAGGGAAAAAAGAATCGGAGGGGGTGTGGGTGAGAGGGGTTCAAGGACGGGTGGGCGGCCAAAGGAGTGTGTGGTAGGAGGAAGAAAATCGGTGAAGGAGCAAAAATGACTGGTCTCGGAGATTGGAGAGGAAAAGGGAATTGATGAGATGACACAAAGGAAAGTAAAAAGGGGACTAATCCAAGGAAAGAGGTAGAAAAAGGAACTGTCAAAAGTAAGTAAACTGGGGGGGAAGGGGAATAGTTCGTATGGATGGATGATGCAAGGGCGACCGCTGCAGGAGGGAAGAAGAGAAGAGAGAGAGAGAAGTTGAGGAATGACAGCACAGGGAGGAGGAAATCTGAGGGTACCCAGGCGCTAGGGGAAAAGTAGATTAGTGAGGAATTATCCCAATAGTTCAAACTGGGAGTCAGATGGAGGAGGGATGGATTTCAAACAAACAGAGTCGGATGAAATAATCACAAAAATAACGGGAGTAGTTACGGTACTGGACTATCTGAGAGTGACTTTGGGACGTGGGTTGGGCGAGAACGTGATGTGATTGATGGTTTGGAAGGAATTCAGGGTCGTGCTACTACTACTACTACCTGGCTACAAGTATGAGTAGGGTACAACAAGTGTACTCTGATAAAGAGAGGATAGCCTGCTTGGTTGATTGACGGATCGAAGGGATTGATTGGGGATTGATGTGACTTGATTGTCCTTCCTCCCTGCCCTCCCTGCCCTTCCCTTCCATCCCCTGAGCTCAAGAGTAACTGAGTTAGCCACCGGGACGTCATTTCATCCCCAGACCATCCAGCAACCCGAACCCAAAAGAATACGAGCACGACCAAAGGTTAATAATCATGATGACAACAATCACTAGACTGGTTCCACAACACCTGACTTGTCTCAAAACTACAGGCCACTTTCAGGGAAGTGGAAATCACACAACCGAGAGGAAGGAGAAGCGAAGCAAGACGAAGAACAAAAAGAAGGGCATCCATCACCTCTCTCAATGCAAGACGGAGTGCCTGACCCTTGAACTTCCGTGCCGAATGGGACGACAGACTGATTGAAGGATAAACTAAAGGACGGGCTGCTCAGGGTTCAATCTCTTCACTTCTCAGTTCTCAGTATTCCCTTTCCCTTCCTCCCTTTTTCCCTACATTAGTGCCTGTGGATCACAAGAATTGTCTCCTCCCTCCACTTTGCTGTGCCACTTGGCCCCCCCTGTCTGCCTTAAACTAGTTGCTGGGCATGAGGGCAAGTCGCCGGTCATTCGATTCTTTCCCAAGGCTGGAAGAGCGGGGAACAAACAGACAAGCCACTCACTGGGTACAGTACATTGGCGATGGCTCCGACGCTCCGAGATTAAATTTTTTGCAATCTTTGGGCTTTACCCTTCCGGACGATCCGGGGGAAAGAGGGGAGCGATAGAAAAGCCCAGGGGCGGTTAGTTAAATTAGTTGACCCAAATGTGAGTATAGTAGCTTGCAACTCAGTTAACATAAGGTCTCTTCTTGACTATGACTATGATCATTGTCGGACAGGATGCTTCAAGAGTAAGAGTCAGCTAATCATGACCGTATAATTAACCATCGTACTCTGTATCTAGTAGTCAGTATACATCCAACCAGCAATCAGGCAGCAATCACCTATCTATCTATCTATCCCACCCGGCTTCCGTGCCTGGGGCGCAGTTTACTGTTACTCTTGATAATTCCCACACACACACCCACCCACACCGACTTGAATTGACTGACTGCTTGGCATCTGAACCAGCAATAATTGAGAAATCGGCCAGCGTCGGCGGGAACCAACTTTAACCAACGCGTCTTTGATGGACGGTCATTGGGTGGTCGGACGGTGGTCGATTGCATGGCTGACTGTATGGAAGGAAAATGAGGAGGGATTCGGACTGACCCGACAAGCAGAATTGCTCTGTTCAGAGGTTACGGGAAAGAGTTCAGGCACACATGGACTGAGTCCTGGACCGCATAAGCATACTCCATCTACTGAGTCACTCAGTAGCTATGATGTGATATGAGAATCCATGATCTTCTGGAGCCGAACCACCACACCCAGATATGATGAACCGATGAACGAATCCCATCCTCGGGCTGAGATCATAGTTCCCCCCCATCCCCTCAAACACAACAAACGAACCGAGGCTAGATCGTTCTTCTCGAATCCCTTATCTTTCTTTTTCTTCTGTTGTTCCACTTTCTACACGCACCCACTCTCACAGAGGATCTCACTCTCTCGCCACACTCATAGGGCTACAAGATAACCACCAACCGATGTCATTCATCATCATCAGACCATGACCAGAAAGACAAAGACCAAAGCGGGAAAATGATTTCGACTGGCACTAACGAACCATAAACAGCAGCTTATTGCCCCCCCGGGCCCTTCCTCTCTCTCTAGTTGAGAGAAGACATGGGTGGAATCCTCGTATCTGCCCAGGTAAAATGGACCGAGTCACCTGCCATTTCATCCGTTATGCATATATACTATCCTCGAATAGCCTCTCTCGTCCATGTGGCCCAGCCCGGTTCGAGGAGGACCCTGGGGCCATGGAAATATTAGTGACTAGCTAGTTAACTACCTCGTCTTACCAATACTCTTATTGACAGAGAGAGGATACCTCAATCAATCAATCAATCAAGCAATCAATCACCTTTTGCGCAGGGTCCAAATAACTGACAATCATCAGCCATCTTCGTCCCGCGAATCCCCCATCCCCCTCCCTCCCTTCCCCGCACGGCACACAAAAAAAGGAAACGCTCAGACATCTCAACAACCCCTACTAACAACTGCCCATAGCCATAAATCTCCTTCTTCAAACTCTCAGTTCTACATGGTATATTCCCCAGTACTCCGTAGCTGTAGATCCTCAAATATTGCATGAATAGTCCCATGCACAATTCAAAAATCAAAAACCAAAGCCCCACTCTCAACAAAAGTAAACAAAAGCATCTTGCAATAAAGCATTCGACACGTCCGATCCAACCCTGTATCTCGATACCGAATCGAGCCAGGCGATAACGAAATAATCCGATACACACACGCACACACACACACACAAATACATCCCGAGCAAAATTTCGGGCCACCTCAGGAACGGGGGAGGTAGGATCCACGATGAATTCCGCGAGGCACAGTCCTACAAGAAGGCGTGATCTGGGGCAGGTGTTCGTCCTTCCGCTGTGTTACTGATACTACAACGAGAGAGGAGGAGTGTAGCAAGGGGGTGTAGCGTGCTCTCCTGCAGATCATCGGGGCCGCTCACATGGTCGGTCGGTCAGGCTGGAAGGTTTTCGTGACAGGGTGCACAGTGAACGACGATCCGGAGGTTTGTAACCACGCGACGATGAGCGGAAGTCGCTTGTACTTACTGGACGTGGGACATACAGCGCTTGGGATAGTCAAACTGGGTGAGAGTTGTACAGTACCCTGGGTTGGGAGGATATCTCCTTGTCTACAACACTTGCCACTTTTTGAGGGAGAAAGGAACCAAGCTATTCGCCTGAAATGTTAGGCTACTGGGACATTTAGAAAGACATAGCAATGTTGCCCTCCTATCAGAGTCTCCGGTACTATATCTTCAGATTCACATACATTAGCTGGGGGGTAGACCGTCATTCCCACTCGCCCTCCCCAAAGTGTATAGCCGGCAGATCTGCAAGACGTGAATGCAGTCAATCCTACCTACCACACCCCAATGCATCCAGAGAATTCTTTACACCCAGCTCACCAAGATCTTATCAGTCCCTCATCTCCATCCCACGTGGTTTTTCTTGCGACTCTTCTAAAGCCCGAGACCCCACACTCCCCATGTATAGTTCAACCTCAAGGGGTCGATCACTCTCTCCCCCAATGCTCTTCTCATCTGGCTAATCCATGCGGATGGGGCATTTAATCCACTGAAACTCGCTTTGATGACAGTGTCATATAAAACAAAACTAGTCGTCGAAGAGGTAGTCAACTCCGTTACAGGAACGGTTCAACCACCCTTTCTCTGTCCAGCAGCGCCAGGCCCTGCGATCGATGCGTTAGATGAATGCTGAAACCTCTGGCGGCCAAGACGGGGGAGGTGGCCCATACCGATGGCGGCGCTGGCATTGCGCAATTCAATCTTCTTGCGTTCCATTTCGAGCTGTACGTTTCAAGTCAGACCGCCACTACTTGCACAAGATCCACGAATGAATAAATGACTCACCACCTTGCGTACTCGGGCAAGGGCAGCCGTGTCACCAGCCACCAGAGACCGACAGTCATCCACGCGGTATGGAGCCGCAATTGAGACTGCATCCGCCACAATAATCTTGGCCCCATCCCATCTCGCCGGCATGGTCCGACTGAAGGCGTCGAAGATGTCCTGTGCCTCGCGAGTCACGCCCTTGCCACGACGAGCCTCGCTTTCGTGCGCCTTAGCAATAGCATTGGCCTCCCGGTTCTTCAAAGATCGTATGTCGAGAGCGTGGAGGGGTGGTACAGCGTCGGCGAAGGACGGTCCATCGGAGGTGGTAGCAGACGGGGCGAGGGAGAGGATCTGAACGGACTGTATACGCGAAATCGGGATGATGCGGTAGTCACCGGTCTGGGACTGCTTTCCGTCGGCGGTGTCAATGGCGACTAGATTCGTGATGGGGTCAGCAGTAAAGAGGGTACCCTCAATCGTCGACGCGACCGGGGCTGTGCTGATGCGGACACTAGGAGATGATGATGGTATCAGCATACAGACGAATAGAACTTAGCCAGCAGCAGGCATCAAAAGCCGCTTATAGGCAACCAAATGCACACCAACACCAGGCTACACAGGCCCGGGAAGAACAGGGAGCTTTACCGTGCGCCAATGGCGCGGCTCAATGCCACTTCCAAAGGCACCATGGCGCCTGTCGCTCCCTGACCTGCGGCTCCTCCGGTCGGTCCTTGCGCAGATCCTCTCGCTCCCACACTCTGACGTTTGTTGTCTGCCATAAGCCTGCCTCTGCTGAAGATGGATGGTTCGAACGAGACTGTCCCACCACCGACAGCACCAAGTCCAGCAAGGGTCCACTATCGGGTACGATTTCGACCGAGGCGAGATCGAGGTAGAACCTAAATCAAGGGCGAGAGGAACGGAGGCACCTGCTAGAAGGACGAACTAGGTCAGCCCGGCAACCCAACTATCATACGGTAATGCTGGGAAGTGTTTTGAAACCACGGTCGTTACTAACAATGACGATGGAACTCGGGCGCGGAACAGGCTGAAGTGGGACGGAGCGGGAACCGCAGTTGAAACAAAGTCGGACAAAAGAACGACAAGAAAAGGAGATTCTAAGACAGCAATGCCGATGCAAAATGTGACCCACCCCTACTTCGACCGATTGGAGTGAGAAAAAGAGAGAGTTGAGCGCCTACAACGCCTAACATGTAGTGGATTGAAGTAAGATACTGAGAAAGGTTGCAAGAGGATGATGCAGAAAGAGGTCGGAGAGCGGCGACGTTTGGCCGGCCCAATCGGGATTAGCTCAGGGCGGAGCGAGACTTCCGTTGCAGCACCAATGGATCCATGACTCCTCGCGCCATCATGATTACACTATTTACGAGCATTCGAAAGCACACAATACATGGTTTGTCTACTTGATTCACAAGAACCTCTACGACGAATCGATAGTAACTACTGGTTAACTATCACAGACACCACTTAAAAAAAAAAAAGAAAAGAAAAGGGTTCATTTCATTCCATACGGTTTTAAACGTAAAAGTAAGCATCTAGATACATAGTACTATGAAGCAGAATTAGGTATACTTCCTGTTCCGCTTCTTGTTTTCATCATGTCATTCTTCACTCAGTAAGTGCATATCGCGAACTCCCTGAGCTCAGTCCAACTGTCCCCTGATAGACCCGTGCGAGGCTTCACGTCCAGCGTATTACATCGCGTGTTTGATTTAAACAATGTAGGTCGACGCAGAGACGTTGCCACCACGGCCGGTCCAGTTGACGTGGATGTCCTTACCCTCGGGGTAGGTCTCGCTGGCGTGCTCGGGCTTGATGCGGAAAGTGTGGGCACCGAAGTAGTCACGCTGAGCCTGCAGCAGGTTGGCGGGGAGGTCCCGGGTGCGGTAGCCGTCGAAGAAGCTGAGGGCAGTGCTGAAAGCAGGGGTGGGGATACCCCACAGAGCACCCTTGCTGACAACGTTTCTCCAGCCCTGCTGGGCGTTGTGGATGGCCTTGTTGAAGAAGTCGTCGAAGAGCAGGTTCTCAAGGTCGGGGTTGTTGCGGTAAGCGTTGGTGATGTCCTTAAGGAAGACGGAACGGATGATGCAGCCACCACGCCACATGAGGGCAATGGAGGGCTTGTTCAACTTCCAGCCGTACTCACGAGCAGCCTGTTGAGATTCTCGTTAGCAACTGCATATCGGACTGGATGCGGGAAGTGTCTTACCTCCTGGATGAGCATGAAGCCCTGAGCGTAGGAGATGATCTTGGAGGCATACAGGGCCTGCTCGAGGTCCTTGATGAAAGCCTGCTTGTCACCATCGAACTCGGGGGTAGGGCCGTTGAGGAGGCCACTGGCACGGGTACGCTCGTCCTTGATAGCAGACAAGCAACGAGAGAAGACGGCCTCGCCGATCAGGGTGACAGGCATGCCAAGGTCAAGAGCGTTGACAGCAGTCCACTTGCCGGTACCCTTCTGACCAGCCTTGTCAAGAATCTTCTCGACGAGAGGAGTTCCATCCTCATCGTTGTAGTAGAGAATGTCACGGGTGATCTCAATCAGGAAGGAGTCCAAGACACCCTTGTTCCACTCGGCGAAAACATCGGCAATCTCCTTGCCCTTAAGACCAAGGCCGCGCTTGAGGATATCATAAGCCTAGAGATGGATACTATGGTTAATCTCTGTACGTGACATTCCGATTCTGGATTTCGGCAGGCTTGATGACTTACCTCGCAAATGAGCTGCATGTCACCGTACTCGATACCGTTGTGGACCATCTTGACGAAGTGACCAGCGCCCTCGTCACCGACCCAGTCGCAGCAGGCCTCACCGTCGCTCTTGGCGGCGATGCTCTGGAAGACATCCTTGATGTAGGGCCAGGCCTCCTCGTTACCACCGGGCATCAGGGAGGGACCGTAACGGGCACCCTCCTCACCACCGGAGACACCGCTGCCGACGAAGCGGATGCCCTTCTCGGCCAGGTACTTGGTGCGGCGGTTGCTGTCGGGGAAGTGGGAGTTACCACCATCGATGATGATATCACCCTCCTCAAGGTGGGGCAGAAGAGACTCGATGAACTGATCAACGGGCTTTCCGGCCATAACCAAGAGCATGATACGACGGGGACGCTTGAGCTTGGCGCAGAACTCCTCGACGGAGTGAGCACCGACAATGGGCTTGCCTGGTGGTACACCATGATGAGTTGGTTTTGCGTGAAAGACAATAGGTAATGAGACTCACCCTTAGCCTCGTTCTCCAAGAAGCGGTCGACCTTGGAGGTGGTACGGTTGTAGGCGCAGACGGTGAAGCCGTGGTCAGCGGCGTTAAGGATCAGGTTCTGACCCATAACGGCCAGACCGATGAGACCGAAATCAGCACTAGGCAAAGAACGCGCCGGAGCGCCGACATTGATGCCGGCGAGGCGGGCGCTGAAGTCAGTCGCCAGGTTCTATGTCAATAGGTGGGTAGATAGAAAAGAAAAAGATGGACAAGGAGGGGATTGATCCGAACGTTCGAGGACGTAGGGATCAATGCGACCCTCTGGACCTGCGGCCTCCTCATCGTGATAATTCACAGACGAAGGGCAATTCGAGTTCATGACCATGATCCGAAGTCATCTTGAGGCTAGTATGCGCTCCAAGATGGTAGCCGCGTGGTGGAAGAGGATCGACCAATGCATGCATGAGGAAATGCAATGCATGGATCATGATGAAGCATCAGGAAGGAGGAGTGGTAGAGCTACTTACACAGCTTTGTCGGCCATGATGAAATTGTGGGGTGGGAGGGAAGGAGGAGATTAGGTATGTTTTTTTTTGGAGAGAGGAAGCAAAAAAGATGAGGTAGTTACAAGAAGTGGGAGTGACGGAGGATATATGAGGGGAGAAGGAAGAGGGACCAGGAAGGGGAAGAAGGGGAAGAAAGGGAACGGGGCAAGCGAGGACCGTAAGAAGGAAAGCATTGGAAGATGTCAGAGCAGGATTCACGCAATGTGGACGGGGCTTACGGAGCAGCTCTTCCGTCATGGGTGGTGGGACGGGAGGTTGAGGAGTTGGGTTGAGCGGGGCAATCGATAAGTTTAGAGGGGAGGGAGAGAACACCAGAGGGAGCAGAGTCCTCCGGTGAGACCGGCCAGCTTCTTTTGGTAACTATCGGATATATGAATTGATGATACAAGGGAACAGAAACTAGACTACCTTGCAATTGCTTCATTCAATCGGACTCTCTTCATATGGCTTTATTTATTCTTCAAATCAATAAGCCAGTTCGAACTGAATGTATTCATACCCAGTGAATGCCATAGTTTCTATGGTGGCAGCAGCTGTTGTGCTACTGATGATGATGATGATGATGATGATGATGATGATGATGATGATGCTCATGCTCATGCTCATGCTCATGCTCTGGCGGGGCAATGGAGGGGCACAGCAACCGGCAGCGGCACTGCAGAAAATCCGCTAGAATCCGGCCTACATCGGCCCTGAAAAAGGAATTTGTCCCAGAGTAGCGCTTTCGGTGAAGCTCGTTCGGGAACGGATAAATTGGGACCGCCTTCCAAGCCCTTCTCCCCTCCACCCATCCCACCCTCATATCTCACCCAGATGCTGAACTAAGAAGTATGTGTACGAGTCGACGAGACTTCTTCATCTTCATTATCACCATTATCCTCATCCTCACAGGAGGGGAGACTAGGATGATCGGTCATCGTCATCAATTGCAGCTGGCCGCCAAATAAATCGGATTAGCGCGGAAACTCATCCCTCCTTCTAGGCTTAAAGCCGATCAGAACAATTCCCGCCGGAGAAATCTACTCCATTTCCGGGGCCTCTGATCATCCCGCATCTCCTAATTACTTGGTCTAAAGCTCAATGAAGCCGATGGGGGTTCTTTTCTCCGTACTGGTCAATTCTCTAGAAGCTGCACTCGGAGTCTTACTCGCAAATATCTAGTAGTCTGTGGTCGGCAACTGCATTTCCTAGTCAGGTTTAGGGTGGGGGTCAAGTTGCATCACATGGGCATGGGTTCAATCATACTCAGTAATCAATCGGTTGGGGGTTCAGAACCACCACGCAGTGTGGCTAGCCTGCGCTGAGTAAGAAGATCGGGGCCAGCCAAATCATTGACTCGCCCGCGGGGGTTCCTGGACTCCGATATCATGCAGTCCGCAGGACGAGACATGTAGCCTTCAGCTCACTACCTGGCAATAAGCAGGTTGTACTGTACGGATGACTTTCAAGCACTAAGACGGTAGCAGGTTGATCCTCGTATAGTTCATCCTCGTATAGACCGGACTGACTTTCTTTCCAAAGAGGAAACTCCCCGCTGATACGTAGCTACGTACTCGGGCTATTCGCTGTCAAGCTTACATGTTAGCATTGATGAGAGCCTTTTCTTCTAATGGCAGAAGCTAGGTTGGCTTCAACAAGAACAATCAGATTCAATGGTTCAGCAACGGTGCGGTCCTGCTACCATCTGCATGCATCAGTAGTCACGTGTAGCCGAAGCGACAGGATTCTGCAATGGCCTGTTTGCACCTTACGGCAGGCCTTGGAAGCCGTCAGCGCAACTTTTCTTTTGTCGGCCGTGTCTGTTGCTTCAGGCATCTAGAACCATCTGCCAGCCCATCAACTCACACTACTATCCACACTGACAATCAGATTTCCATAATCCTTCTCCTCCTGATCAATATCTCACGATCCCAGCCAATTCTATAACTCCCACGCAAGTGCTACCAGCGTCCATCATCAACTCTATACTCAATCCTCCAGGCTGGTCTTGCTTGAGATACGGCCTTTCACCTTCAAACCACACATCTTCCGCACCAGGATTCGGGACCTTTTTCAGGCGTGACGTCTGGCGTATTGACTGCGACGTCAGTCAGGCCCTGAAGGTACGTGTCTGTTGCTAGTTGCTGAACAGCGCATCACACTATCCACCGTTTCTCCTTTGTACCGAACTCTCCGTTCATCATGTCCTTTCCGCCACCTCCAGGTCTTAGGCAAGCACCTTCGTCGCTCCCTGCGCGTCCACCACCATCAGCGAGCACTGCTTCGCCTGCCACCTACCAACAACCCGCATACTCGGCTGCACCCTCGTATGCGCCGCCCGGTGCAAGCAGCGGATATGGCAGTCACGGGCCGTCGCGACCGGGCTACGGCGCCGCCACTGCCTTCGCCCCGCGCTCAGTAGCCTCCACTCAACCCTACCGTACCAGCAGCCCCGTGGTGTCTGCTCCACCCACCTCCTCCAGCGGCTATGCGACACCAACTACAACCGGCTACGGTAACTACTATCCACAACAACCACAAGCATCGTACCAGAGCGGCCCGACCTACTACGGAGCCCCGGCCCAGTACAATGACGGCACCTCGTACGGCCCGTCCGTGCCACGGATCCAGAACCCCTTCCAGCCCGCCGCCGGAAGGGGCTACGGCGGCCGCAATGACTCCGGCATGGACCCGGAGACGGAAGCGCAGATTGCGCAGTGGCAGAGCGCCTACGCGAACAAGGAGGAAGTCCCGGTCCCCGGCAAGATCCCAGGACGCCGAGATGTCAGCCAGGGAATCGGGGCTGGTCCTGCATCTGGCGCGAACACACCATCTGGTGCCGCCACTGGTGCCAACACGCCCGCGCCGATCGTGGGGGTGCCCGAGCCCGCGCCGAAGACAGTTGTCCGCTCCGGCGGTGGACAGAACTGGACCGACTCGACACTCCTGGAGTGGGATCCGGCGCACTTTCGTCTGTTCGTGGGAAATTTGGCGGGCGAGGTTACGGATGACTCGCTGCTGAAGGCGTTCGCCAAGTACACGTCGGTGCAGAAGGCGCGGGTGATCCGCGACAAGCGCACGCAGAAGAGCAAGGGCTACGGGTTTGTCAGCTTCAGCGACGGCGACGACTACTTCAAAGCGGCGCGAGAAATGCAAGGCAAGTACATTGGCTCGCATCCGGTATTGCTCCGGCGGGCCACCACCGAGGTTCGGCCTGTGTCCAACAACAAGAATGGGAAGAAGCACGGGGGTGGAGGCGGCTCGGGTGGGGGCAGTGCTGGTGGGGGCAAGGTCAAGCATGATGGAGTCAAGAAGCATGGCAAGACCAAGGGCGGACTGAAGATTCTCGGATGAACGATTGAGTTGAGTGTACTGTGTACTCAGCTCCTGGATCAAATGGGCAATCCGATGACGAGTTATGCTACGACTGGGATACATGATAGAAACCTGAAGCATTCTGTAACTTTCAGAATCGGGGGGTAGTTCAATTTGTACGCAATATACCCTTTTTCTCATTACTGACACGGTAACAATAATGCTTCAAATATAGTCGGTAATATATAAACAATCCCCAAAGAAAAATGAACACCGAGGGTCGAAACCAGTCCACCCTTCTCAAGCCCTCGAAGAATCCAAACAAAATACAAGAATACCCCCAGCAACCATCCCCCATCCCTTACAGACAACTCCCACTGAGTAAACCCCCTATCCATCACTTCACCGTCGTCAAGTCCAAACCCAATCCCATCATCCATTGCATCATAAGTCATAACCACATTTCAACCAAAACAAACAACAAACATCCCATCCAGTAGGTGGCATAGATATATCGCATAAAACCTAGTTCATGAATGACTCCAAAAGAACACCTTTTCCAGCAAGGCGCGATAATAAAAACCGAAAAAAAAAACAAAATCAGAAAGAGAGAGAGAGAGGGACTCAGGCAAGGTCGAGAATCAACCACCCCCGCCTTCCTCCCCACTCTCCTCATCGATGGCGCGTTTCCGGTACGCCACGCGGTTCTTCATGGTGTGGATGCCGTAGCCCGCGATGGCGAGGATGATGAACAGGACGATGATGATCACCGCGATGGCGATGTTTTCTTGCATCGCGGCGGGGTTTCCGGTGCAGTGTGGTTGGACTTTGGTGGTTGGATATGGTGAGGTAGGTGAATTGACAAAGTGCTTCGTGGTTTAATTGGGGTTGCGATGCCTCATGGGATAGACCGGGAATCCGGTGTGTAGGCAGGTGGTTATCGATCTATGCACACAGTCTGTGGGGAGTGGGATCTGGATTCAATCTGGGTTCCTGAGGAATGTGCCCGTGAATGTCAGATACCCGGGATATAGATTGATGGTATGAATTCCAAAGACCAAAGGAGGAGAGGAAGATGGATGGAGAAGGGGAAATGGGAGATGGCGGGCATGTTTGTGGGACAGCTTATAAGGTTGTCCACACACGGCCTTGAGTGACTATTGGAGTGATGGAGTCAATCAGTGCCTGGCCGAGTAAGTGTTCCCCAGCCATGTTGTTTTTACAGCCCTGGCCTTGTTTATTGCGGGTGGCTGGGGAAATGCGGTGATGCGGTGATGCGCTGATGCTGCCTTGCCGGCGCTAAGGCTCGAGTTGGTCAAGGTCGGGGATGCTATTTCGGGCAATCAGCTTTAGCTTCAAGTTACCTTCAAGTTGGTTGTTTACACTTTGGATGGGCTGTAAATCTTCGTCGGGTGGTTGATCGGGGATGTTGGGTTGCAATGTACGGAATACTTACCGTACATTTTCATATGGTATCGAATGTCCGTGTTTGTCTACAGTGGAAACACAATGAGGTGATGAGCCCGCACAGTTTATAGGGCTGTTGTCCACTCGGACCGGTTGATACTTCCACAATACCTCATTTGAGGTCGAACAACTCGTACAAGGACTAGTCCTCTGAATGAGACTGACACCCTTCATCATCATCATCATCATCATCATCATCACTCTCATCCTTCTTCTTCTTCTTCTTCACTGTCTTCCCCTTCTTCTTTTCCGCCCCGTTCATCATCTCCATCAGCGTCTTCTGTCCCTTCTTCACGCCCGATCCTTTGGCTGCCTTCTTCTCATCCGCCTCCAGCTTCCGCATATACTGCTCCATTTGCTTCTCCCGCATCTCCTTCCCCTCGTCGGCCAATCTCGCTTCCAGAGCTCGGAACTCCGCTCCCTCCGGATCCATGCCGATTAAAGACTCGAGAAGCTCAATCTCCTTCGCCCAGACACTGGGATCGGCGACTAACTTCCCTGCAGCACCAGCTGGTTTCTTCGGGGCCTTCTTCTTGCCCTTCGCCTGCCCAGCCTCCCCATCATCCCCACCCTCATCCTTCGTTCCGGTTTTTGCTTCTGGCCGGTCGATCGGCGTCTCGAGAATCATAGGCACCCCCTCGAACCGCTTCTCATTCATAACATTGTGAAACGCCCGTAGGCCCAAGAATCCCGTCCCAATATTTGCGTGCAGATCCCGTTTACTACCGCGAGGCGCTTTCGAGTCGTTAAGGTGGAGGGCCCGGAGATGTTGAATGCCGATCAATTCCTCAAATTCCTGCATAAAGGCCGCGAAGCCCGTGGGGGTGACAAGGTCGTAGCCCGCCGCGAAGCTGTGACAGGTGTCGATGCAGATGCCAATTCGCGGGTGCAGGTCAGCAGGGATCTGGGCGAGCAGATCCCTGAATTCCGAGAGGGAGCCACCGATCGTGCTGCCGTGGCCGCACATGGTTTCGAGGACCGGAATCACGGTCGTGGTGGCGCGGAGGGCCGAGGTGAGCGCGGAGGCTAGTCGCGTGATAGCACTGGCGTGTGGGGTTGAGTTGGCAGAGCCGGGACTATTCGCGCACAATCAGTATCCGTGATGAAGAGGAATACATGCATTGAGGGTTCGCGGAGCTAGCTGGCTTACTGGAAGTTGTAGAGCTGAATGCCTAGAGCTTCGCACCGACGGAGATCGTCGAGGAAGGCATCGTAGGCTTGTTTGGCTTTAGCTTTGTCTTCTTGAGCCAGGTTTACAAGATATGACCCGTGCGGAAGGATGTGTCTGGGTTTAAGGTAAGTTGGGGACAGATGACAGATTGGCGTAGGGGTGCTCACTTTGCTGCATCATACTTGTGCTCTTTACACATGGCGCGGAATTGATCTCGGTGGTCATCCTGAAGGGGTGGGTTGTCCCATTTCCTTTGCGACTTGAGGAAGAGAGCAAATGCGTTTCCACTGACGTCGGGTTAGTCGATGGCCGACCGGAAGGAGACTCTATGGGACTCACCCTATGTGCAAGCTGTTGTTCACCGAGTTGAAGACGCCTGTACCGACTATTAGTACCAGGATCACGATCCAAAAGATAAATTGAAAACCAAGTCGACGCACCTTTGGCTGCGCTGACATGCGCGCCGACAAGCATGCGCAATCCCTGGGTCCGAGCTCTCAAAGGCACCATTTCGGCTTCTTTGGTTTTCTGCTGCCTGGAAACCTTGACCGTTTTGGATACCTTCTCTTCAACCTCTTCCTCTTTCACCGAATTCACGTTGTCTTTTGTTGATGCCTTCCCCGTGACCGTCGTCTCAACCTCTTCCTCTACTTCCTGCTTAATGGCGACGGCGGCGGCGGCGGCGGCGGCCTTGCCTTGACGAGCTTTGTGTTTCAAAGTCCCTGGACTTGCAGTTTTGGCCTGACTGCCAGTTTCTACCTCAATCGGAGTCGTAGACAGTGAAGCAGCAGAGGCCCCGGCTGATTTGACGCGCTTTGATCGACGAAGTGGGGAGGTTGGTTCGCGATCTTCGTCGACAAGCTTGCGTTTTTGATCTTCCGGGGAGTGCGGTGGCGAGACAGCGACAGCGCTGGGTGCTGCTTTGCGAGCACCGCGAGGAGGCATCGTACCTTCGTCTTTCGTCTGTGGGTGGATTTCAACACTTCTCGGATGATATTCCAAAATCAAGCAATCCGATAATTGGACGGTGGGTCGGCCAAAACTGTCAGAATTGGCGGTTTGGCGATATGGAGACGCGGAGCGGAGCGGACTTTGCAGGGTCGAGGCCTTACTTTACTCCTGGTTCTGTTAACGTTACGTACCTATGATGTTAGGAGAAAAGTCCTGCGTTCAGGAACATAGCTACAAGCGATTGACACTTTTACATTATCTCAAAACATTGCAAGACAGCTCCCTCACAATACAGTAAGTTGAAGGGCAGCCAGCTGGTAGCAGCTTCAATTTTGCCTTTCTGGGACTAGCGTGCATGTGACCGGTTGTCAGGGCAACCACATCCGGACTAGCGGCTGTTTATCGATAAACTCGATTTGCTTCAACCTCTTCTGATTTGGCTCCCTTGCAGCCTGAACCGTGTCGACCATCGCCCTTCATCGCCCTCCAACCACCACCGAACCGCCGACAACAATTATAATAACGACTCAAACACCGCGGAAACGACTCTTGCACTACACATTCGAAGTGGGCGATCCTTATTTCGCGCTCCATCGCCGCCATGGCGGCTTCAAACGACTTGATCGACTTCGATATCATCGAAAACCAGAAGGAGAACATTCAATCGCTACCGGGGGGACGATCGGCTCGAGAGCTAGCCCGGATTTTCAGTCCCCGAGAAACGACGGACAAGCTCGCCGTGCCGTCGCCAAATGAGACCAGAAGCGTCAACGATGCGATCAGACAAGAATATGAGGCGGAGCTGCAAGCTATTGACGAATCTGATGACCCCCTCGATGTTTACGACCGATATGTGAAATGGACGCTCAACGCCTACCCCTCCGCCCAGGCTACCTCCGAATCCGGGCTTCTTCCTCTTCTCGAACGCGCCGTGAAACACTTTCTCTCCTCGGCTCACTACAAAAACGACCCCCGCTACCTGCGGCTATGGCTGCAATACATCAGACTTTTCTCCGACTCGCCACGGGAGACATTCGCTTTCTTGGCCCGTCATCATATTGGTGAGGGCCTCGCATTATTTTACGAGGAGTTTGCGGCCTGGCTGGAGGGTGCTGGGAGATGGACACAGGCAGACGAGGTCTACCACCTCGGGATCGAGCGCGAGGCGCGGCCAGCAGAACGCCTGGCTCGCAAATACCGCGAGTTCCAGCATCGCTACGAACAACAGACGCAGGATAATGGCCCCTCGTCGCCGGCCTTGCCCGCCGTCCGCCCAGCCTTGGCGGCCAAGGTTGATCCTTTCGCGTCGGCTGCACCCGCCTCGCCCGACCCCCAGGCCGCCGAGCGCCCGGCCCCCGCCCGCAGCGCTGCCTCGAAGACGAAATCCGGCAAACCGAAGATGGCGATCTTCTCCGACGCCGACGCAGCGAGCCAGCCGGCGGTCAGCGGACCGGCGCAAGGCTGGGACAACATCGGATCACTGCAGGATCGACGCAAGGAGAATAAGGTGGAAGCGAAGCCCTGGGCGGGAGAAACCTTGAAGGCCGGAAAGAAGCCCGTGCCAAAGGAGAAGATGGCGATTTTTCGGGACGAGGTATGTGCATTTCCCGATTCTCTCTGACTTCCAGATATTTACGATCGCAGGACTAATTGGTGGCATGAAACCGGATTGGTTTACGATTAATGTATTTCAGTCAAAATCCAAAATCCAAGTCAAACAAGATATTCCAGATGTCGTGCCAGAGCACCGCGTAAGGGAAGCGATCAATCCACGTACCGGACGCCGCGAACGCGTTTTCGTCAACCTCGATGCTGTATACCCTGATTATAAGAATCCGAACCATGAAGTTAGCTTCGAGGAGCTCAGAGCCATGAGGCGGGGGTGGCTGAAGAAGGACTGGCGGGTACCTAAGGTGCCTCTCAGGGAGATTCCCGGCAATTCTAATGCCGAAATGCCCTCCGAGAATCCGCTCGAACATGGCATAGAGAACGAACTACCGGATCAGTTCAGGCAGAAATTGACCGTGAAGGACAGAGAGACTCATACGCAGGAACACGGTGAGGCAAATGCTGCCCAGGAAAACAAGACCAAGGCACGCAAAATGAAAATGCGCGAGGTTAAGCAAGAAACCCAGACAAGTAAGCGTGTTGTCTATGGTATGTCGTTTTGGGATGCTAACAACCCATAGTCAAAATGAAGTTTGATTCTCCCACTGGAGGCAGCAAGATTCGTCGGAAAAGCACTGCTGAACCCACGATGACTATACACACACGAGCTGCAACAGACGAGATTTATAGTATATTCAACCAGCCACTGAAGGCGGAGACAGATCAAGCGGCCGAGAGTGATTTCGATGATGATGACTACACAAGCGCTGGGGAGAGCACTGTGACGGGACATATTTCAGCTGCATCCAGCGATTTCGGCGACGATGAGACGACAAGTTTCCACAAGTCATTTGACGATGATGGGTTCGAGGATAACACACGGGCGGAAAGTGTTATCGATGGTGAATGGACACAGTTCTCTGCTTGCGACGTCCCCGACACACACACATCTCATTCACTCCATGACGAACGCCCCGCCTATGACAATAGAGAGAACGAGATTTTTGACGAAAATTCCGGTATCGAGCAGCCTGAAAGACAGCGATTTGTCCCAGAGATGCCCGAAGATTATGTCGCTCCCTACGGCACTTACCGGGATCCTGCGATGGTAGCTCAGAACCGCTTGCCATTCATGACGCCGATCGTGGAGCAGACGGAGTACTCTATCTCAATGACAGCGGCGAGGGCCCAGATGTATAACGTAAAGACACCCTCCAAACCGCAAATGGGAAACCTCTTGTCAAGTCCCCTACTTGCTACTACCACCCCTCACCACGAGGACCACTTCGCCGATATCCTCGAGGATGTGACCTTCTGTCCAAATGTGGACGAAGTGCGATCTAGCATGAGACTTACGCCTCTGAGTGAGAGCAGTCGACAAGAGCCGGTTATCAAGCAGCTGCAATGCAGTCCCACGAATAAAGACATCCGTAACACCATTCTTCATTCCCTGCAGCCGCCTTTGGCATCCTACGCAGGCTATCACAACCACCCGCAAATGATGACCCATTACGGCGCCGAAGTCCAAAGATTCTTCAAAGCGACTAGCAAGCGTGGGAAGAGCGGAGACGAGGCGGCTTTTGACCTGCCCATCCTTGAATTACCAGGTGCTGACCGAAGCTATATCATCCGACGAGAACTTGGTGCCGGAGCTTATGCCCCCGTCTACTTCGCCGAGAGCATCGAAGGCCTACCGTCTGACTCGGAGAACGAATCGACAGGTAACTCCAGCAGAGATTCCCACAACAGAACCGTCTCAAGCTACAACGCCCCGCGCCATGGATTCGAAGCCATCAAATTGGAGGTTGGCCCACCGAGTGAGTGGGAGTTCTATGTGATCCGCATGGCGCACGACCGCTTGACCCGGAACCCTGAGCTCTCTCGCGCCACCGACAGTATAATCCGAGCTCACGAGCTTCATGTCTACCGCAACGAGAGTATCTTGGTGGAAGATTACCGCGGTCAGGGCACGATTTTGGACCTGGTCAATCTCATTCGCAGCGAACCAATCTCGCCAACCACCAACAGTGAGGGTGGAATGGACGAAGTGCTTGCCATGTTCTTCACGGTCGAGCTATTCCGCACCGTCGAAGCCCTGCACGCATGTGGGATCATCCACGGCGACATCAAAGCCGACAACTGTCTCGTGCGTCTCGACGACAAGCCCGCTCTCCCTTCTTCGCTGATCGACCTGGACACCGACTACGCCGACCCGCGCGAAGTGCACTATTCCCCGCGGGGCCACCACGGCTGGTGCAACAAGGGCCTCTCCCTGATCGACTTCGGCCGCGGCATCGACATGCACGCCTTCCCCGCGTCCGTCCAATTCCTCGCTGACTGGGAGATCAAAAGCCACGAGTGCAACGAGATCCGCGAATTGCGGCCCTGGACCCACCAGATCGACCTCTACGGCCTGGCCGGCACCATCCACGTCATGCTGTTCGGCAAGTACATCGAGTCGATGCCCGTCCGCCGCAGCGAGGGTTTTTCGTCCGGTGGTGACTCGGACCGGCCCGATCCTTCCTCGGCCATCACCACCCGCACCTACCGCATCCGCGAATCCCTGAAGCGATACTGGGAACGCGACATCTGGTCCGACGTCTTCGACCTCCTGCTCAACCCCGGCGCCGACCGCTGGGCTCAGGTCGAGCGCGACGCCCGCAATCCCGCCGGCGCGGACGACGGTCCGAGTGCTGCTGCGGCCCCGATTCTCCCCGTGACCCACGCGATGAAACTGGTGCGCGAGCGCATGGAGGCCTGGCTCCTGGGCAACGCCGAGAAGAAGGGCCTCGGCTTGCAGCTCCGCAAGCTGGAGGTGATCTTCGCCGAGAGGAAGAAGAGGTTGGAGAAGGTTTAGTGTCCACCTTCCCGTAGCTTTTTGCCGTTCGCCTTGGTTGTGATGTTGCATGGTCTAAACACATACACCTTACCACCCACCACTTTAGTTTATACCCCTTATTTCATGCTTTTGGGCTCTGCAGCGTTGGCGTTGTTGGGTAAGATTCTGTTTTTCGATTCGAGTGCCTTTTTTCTTTTTCTGGTACTCTGGAGTTTGTTCCTTGTTAGTGGGATATTGCTGAACACCCCATCGCAATAGCTCGTACAGTAGTTATCATCCTATCCGGTATTCTACGTATCCGAACACAAGTTTATTTGAATCAATGAATTGAGAAACGTAGAATAGTTATGCGTATCCTTCGCAGGAACCCAGCCATAACTCAAATCTGAAATGCAGAGAGAAATCTCTAGAGATAGATAGAGAAACACACAAAAAGGTGGACAATCAAAAGAACCAGACAGACAGTCTTCCGCTCAACACTCGAAAGAAAACAAGACGAAGAAGAAGCATACTGAGACTTTCACTGTCGCACACACATGAGATAGAAAAGAGAGATTCAGAAATTAAACAAAAAAAAAAAGCGCTAGAACATGAGATAATGGGGCCATCATCGCTTGCTTTGCTTTCCATGTACATACTGTACTGTTCAAGACACACAAATTCATCCCAAAGCAGAAAGAGTCAACAACACTTGATGCAGCATGGATCGTTTCATCTATCGCAACACAAAATAATCATTTCAGTCAATAGCGCGTCTCTCCGTTCCAATCGTCGTCGTGCATTTCCCTGTGAATACACGCGGTTTCGTGGTCGTGGCAAAAAGAAGAAGTAGATAGATCAGATCGCACAGGAAGTCGATGGTTGATGAGTTGGTTGGTGGGGTTGGTGGGTTGGTGGTGATGAGATAAAATTTGGAAAATGATATGAGAAACAAATTTAGGAAATTGTCAAAGAGTGAACCGCGAGGGAGCTGTTAGCTGATCGTAGCTGGTAAGCTGCCCTACTTGGCAGTTGGAAATGGTAATGAGTAGATCTTTCAGAGAATGAATGTGGTTCGGTAGGTTGAAATTGCGGGGACAAAAAGGAAAAGAGCGAGCGTGTTTGACCGTCAACACCGTTGAGAAGAGACCTGCGTGGTGGCATGAAGCTGGATGCCAATGAAGTTTGTTGGAGCTCTCCGCAGATGTGCAATGTTGCAATGGTCAAAGAGGTTAGTCGAAGTAGGAAAACAACGATCGATTTCTGTTGGGTTGATTCGTTTTAGCCAGTTGGGCAGGTACACCATGGTCCTCGGTCCTGGGCATAATAGATTGGTAGATGCTGCTGGAACGCGCGTTGATGCACTTTAATTGATGTCATTTTTCTTGGTTTCAAAATTTGCCAGTGTTGAACTTTCAACAGGCAGAACTCTAGGAGTTCAAGGTAAGGTCATAAGATTCGTCAATGCCGTTTCTGTCATTATTCTTTGATCGAAAGCGATCAAGTTCGCAACAAGTCGTCCAGGGTCATTAGTGAGGCAACGGGTGCCAGCATCACCGCCTTGAATAAGGCATATTGAGGATTTGTCTGCGAATTCGTTCCGCATCCGATATACCTTCTTCCGTCGGGTCAAATGGGAGTGGGCTGGTGATCTCTGGTTCCTTAAGTGGGGTGCCAGCAACGCTCGGTCTGAACTGCGGGATCAATCCACTTGCGAACGGGTCGGAGAGGGACGGTGCATGTCGGACGAACCGAGGCGAGGGTTCGGGCCGTTTGGCGGCCTCAACTTTGAAGGGTGAGCCTAAGCGCTTGATACTGTCCCCAACCAAATTAAGAAGTGGGTTGACAGGCTTCTCCACGAGACTATCCTCATTGCGAGATGTTGATGATGGAGGAGAAAATAATTGATCAATGCCCCTAGGGTTCACCGCACTCATTGTCGCTCCACGGTTACGGATTCGAATCCGACGTTGGTCCATGTCGTTCAGCTTTCCTTGGCGGACAAGCTCCTCTAACTGATTCCTTGTATCTTTTTCTACAGGAGTTTCTGTGGCAGGCGCATAGCCGGCGACAGTGGCGTCATGCTCAGCAGCGGGGAACATAGGTGGGGAGCGTAGCCGGGAACCCGTGACGTGGATCGTGTCCCGTCGATTCCTGGGCGTATGGCGCTGGACTCGTTTTCTTGAGCTATGAGGACCCCAGGTATTGTATGTAAATGGGGATCCGAGGCGAGGTATGCTATCCTGTTCATTTACGTTCGCATGGCTTCGCGCAGGTGGTTCTATCGGTGCTAGCTGCGCAACCCCTGATATGGGGGTGTTGAACCACTCATCATTCTTCCCCGGCAAAGAAGAATCTTCCGCCGTGAGTTGAGCGAGTGGTCCGTGGACTGAGCTGGCCACAAGTGACACGCCCAGGTCGCGTGTTGCATACGCGGTTGAATTGTTGCTGTAGCCGTCAGCCTGGGAGGCTTCCCGTGAGGCCCGCGTGAACAAATCGTAGAACGGTGTCGGGCTCTTGGATTGCATCATCCGTTGATAGTGTGGCACGATATAGAACTTCTTTCGACAGAGAAGCTTGAGCCTTCGCCGGGTTGACGCTTCCGACTTGGGCCAGAGCGGTCTTGCGGCATCGGTTCTAGGGGTCGGGGTTTTGTCTCCGCCCGAACGTGACTGAAGTATGGCGACCGGAAATTGCTTGTCCAGTCTGAAGCGTCGTTTCTCCCAGGTCCGCTTTGCGTCGCGTGCAACTCGATGAGTGACACCCAGGGGCGGAATACTGCCTGGGGTCATTTTGAAGGGAGTAATTGTAGGATCCTGAAGATACAACTGATAAGTATTCCAAAGATGATTGTCCATATTGATTGTCCAGCGCTCCTTTGCTGGGAAAGCCCGCGGTTTGTTCTTGAGAGCAGCACGCATCGATGGCGTCTCGGTAACATGCTTTGGCGGTAATTCGAGATGGAAAAAAGAATCGTACGAATCGCTTTCCATGCTCGTACAGCTCCCACCCGCCGAGCGCCGCGACCCGAACGTTTCAATAGACGAGACGGAAGAATCCGATGCCTGCGAACAGGCTGATCCAGGTCGCTGAATGCTTTCCCCAAGGGTACGAGCATCTTCGGAAGACCAGCGCTCGGCGGATTGCTCGTCAAGATCCGGGCGGATTTGAGCTGGAGGGGTCTTCAGGGCTACTCTGTCCCGAGGGGGCGCCAGAAATCGGTCATCCCGCGACGGAATTGTCGGGCCTCCATTGACCACAAAAGAGTCACGGGGCGTAGGGAATTCGATAGAGGGGAGGGGGATATCGGAGGAATGTGGATAAGCGGTGCTGAGGTCATACTCGGCTTGCGCAAAGACGTTGGTTCCGGAGCGAACACGAGATCGGCGAAGGCGACAGCTGGAATGACGAGGCGGCGGCGGCGGCGGGACATCTAGGTGCGCTGACATGCGCTCGGGTGTCCTCGGCTCCCCTATGCTGGTGGACGGGAAAGTGAAATTCTTGGGCAGCGTGCGCGAAAGGCCCAGCTGTCGAGACTCCATGGTAGACAAGTGACAGTCTCGTAGAGTGGTAATTGGCGACAGGCTGGCTCGCGACGACTTAATCCAAAGAATTAATACGTACTTCTAACAAGAACCTTTTCTGTCCCTATAACATGTCGCTCGTCTGCGGAATTGTTATGTGCAGGAAAAGGATATCCTCAGCAGGAGTCAAAGCGCTAACGGGGAGGGTATAGATGGCGCGCAGTGTACGCGATCCCAATTGATCGCGCTGGAAATCAATCGTGGTCGGTGTCCAGCGTGAGCCCGACAGCCAGGTTCTGACGGTATCCAAAATGAAAGATAGAGCAAAGAAAATCGTTCTAGCTAGTAGTTGGACGTCTTGAGTCAAGCTTCAGGGAGATCGACTAAGCGCGCTGGGGGGAGTTCGGGGGCGGCGGAGGGTCGTAAGTCGTAACAGTAGGTGAGTAAAGAAAAGGAAAACAAAGTGCGTCAAGGTGTGAATGGTCGGTACGAGTTGCGAGAATAGAGATGTGAGGCGCGAAGGTGTGGAATGTAACGATGCGCTGGAATTGAGACAGATTCACCTTGAACTGTAGGCGCGCTCCATTGCCCGATCGTCGATTTACTTGAAGTATGGGGAAGAGGCGGGCATTGACCACACGGACCCGAAACCAACAAAACACGAAGGAAAAAAGAGAAAAGAAAAGGGGGAAAGGGATAGTCAAGGATGAGCGACAGGCTCTATCGGAGAATAAAGGAAAAAAGAAGAGGGACAACGTGGCTGTATAGAGGAAAAAGGGTGGGAGAGAAGGAAGTGAGAGGGAAGAAGAGAGAGAGGGTGGAGGGTGGAGGGTGGAGGGGAGGAAGAGTCGGAGAAGGTGAGAGGGGAGGAGAGAGAAGGCAAGGGAAGGAAACTAACTGGTAAGATCGGTGGTAAAGTTCAGGAATAAGGGAGAGACAGCCGAGGACAGAAGCGGTAGGCGCCCGTACAGTACCCGTGGGTTGGTCGGGTTTGGCGGGCTGCTACCACTGAGTGAACAACTGTAAGTGCACAACTGTAAGTGAACAACTGTAAGTTAAGTTGACAGTGGACCCTCTTTTGGGCTCCGGAAGAGAAGCTCGATCCTCTCCATGCCCCGTTCCATGGATGCCACACACACTCTGTGACTGACATGCAATGCTATGACCATCTCATCTCATCGCATGTCATATCATCAATCTATTGATTTTCTGCCTGTTTTCCCCCCTTCCATGATATGATACCATACCAGAAAGAGAAGGAAAACAAGACGAAAATCGAAATCAAAAAACAATCAAAACCAAAGAAGGACAAGGAAAATTCGCTCGTCACATTGGCTCTGGAATGCGGAGAATTGATATGCTGGACATGCTCGTGAGCCACTCAGCGATAGGTATCCTATACTATGCTGACCCCCTTTTTCCCCTTCCTCCCTCTTGTATCTTCTTCTTATTCTCTCTTTTTTCGAGTCTGCATTACTTTTCTTGATTTCCCTTTCTTCACAATTGCGGGTCTCT